AACATGGTTTTTCCAAAAAAACTAGTAACTAGCCATTTTTGAGAGGTAAACTGAATATGGCATGAAATATTTATCGCATTTTACTTGTATTAACAGGTCATTGTCGAAGCACGGTTACCGTATTCTACGCATTCACAACATGTTCATAGCGATCGATATCCACGCTGTATCATATAAACGATTACCAAGATTCGTTACGCAAGACCAAGTTTTAAATTAGTTGCATTTTAAAGGGGTGGGCGCTTTGCCGAATGTGACCCCAAATATAAAAATTGCTTAAAAGTGGGGGGTGGGCGCTTGCCCGGGCATGGGCGCTTACGCGGTTAAGTACGGTAATGTGGTAAGATATTACAGTAGTCTAATCTTGATGTCACACATGCATGGATTAACTTCATTGTAGCCGCTCTATCCAATAGAGTCTGAATTTTACTAATGCGGTAAAGTGCAAAATAAGCTGACTTTCAAATGTGATTACCATGGTGCCCCAAATCACCATCAGTGTGATTTATGCCAATTATGCCCCTTTTATTGGAACAATTGATGAGATTGTGTGATAGCCAGTCTTGGTTATCCAATGATATTTCTTGTACCACTGGTTGATACCCAATCAGGTTAGAGGACAGGTTATATACTTTGACCCACCGGGTAGAGTCAAAGTGATTTTCACCAGGGTCCTAGGAAGTCACAGTAATTTTCACCAGATTTCTAGGGAGTCACAATGACACTTGCAGAATCATCAAATACTAGTAGTGGGAATGTCTTTTTGTGAACATTTTTGAAAATTTTCAAATATTTTTTCCAGATGATGCTCGGGCTGACATCGCATGAACCTCATTTTTCACTACTGAGAGAAGAAGTACGGTTTGGAAAGAAATCCCAACAGAAGAGAACACCAACTCCAGAAGAAACAACTTTTCATTTACTTCATTTATCATTATTTCGAGAGTACTTAGAGTTTGAATTTCAAGATGTTAAAGTAAGTAGTTGAGGGTTGGTGCTGTGGTTTATTATTGTTTTCCTGTTTGGTCTTTACTCACAGCGTGTACACTATGCATTATATGCTGTTCAAAACATAAATATTTGTCACAACCTTGGCAAGTTTGTGAAAATGACTAAATTTTGTTTAGTGACTGATGTTAACAAAGTGTCACGAGTGGAACCAAAGCAACACATCAGGTAGCCATAGCAACATGGTTCCATGAGTTTGAAAGGCCTGAGGAGAACACTGTTGTAGCAGTGAAAATTACCATTGTTTTCTATGACCCAAATATTGACAATGAATGGAGTAAAATTATGAAATCATAAAAATATTAGCAGCAAAAATTAAACATTTTATAATACTCTAATTAACCATGGGAACATCTTTGCTGTTTTATTTGTACATGTACATTGTATGTAACAGATGAAACCCAAATGTGTGTTTTAACACGAGTGTAGCAGAAGAATCACTGAGTAAATTGTCGTTATTTTTTAATTCCAGGGTAAAATATCATTTGACTATGATTTGGAGAGGATTATTGACGATTGGGTACTAATGGGATTCCTTGTTGGTAATGATTTCATACCTCATCTGCCTGATTTGCATATTAACCATGATGCACTGCCTCTACTATACAAGACATATATAGAAGTGCTACCATTAGTGGATGGTAAGTGTTTACTCTTGGATCAGTATATTATGCATTATTATACATCTGGCTACAAAAACTTTGTACGGCTGTGTTTGAAAGAGTTGAAGGAAATTCATCACTTGACAGCACATTCAAACACTCCCGTCATTTTCACCAGTTTCAGCAACAATGTAGCACATGGCTGAAATAGAATCACAGCACACAACTGACTGTGCAGATCTAATTGTGTTTTTCTGGCATTTTGTTTTGATGCATGACATTGCAAGTACAAACAGGAAACCATTTCTAATAGTAAGGTGATCATGGGAATATGTATACACTCAGGCCATACGTGATTGCATCATCCCTTCACTACACTTTTGTGTTTGCGGTATTCTCGTTCTTGTAATAACCGCATGATCATATTAGCATATTGCTTTATGTTAATAAGACGGAAACTTAAAGTTTTGACGTTTTAATTTATTGCAGGTTATTTGAATGAAGATGGAATTCTTAACTTGAAAAGATTTGAAGTCTATTTAAAGAAATTGTCTGAAGTAAGTTAAGTATTATTTGTTTTTGAAATATTGCTGCAAGTGTAAGTGCTAATTGTAAATATATACATGTAGTACATGTTGCCATAGAAACCACATTCCATTTTTGGGATACATGATAGGGCTGTGTAACATTATGGCACAATCAAACATAAATACCTGGTGACATTACCCAGGGTCACCTCAAAGTTGAATCTATTTTGAATGAATCTCTACTAGTGGCTTTGATCTTCCCGTTAAACCTGTAGCACTCTGGCTCAGCCTTGGGTAGAGGGGGGGTGACCCCTTCATTTTGTGTATCATTCACTGGTTGGTTTTGAACTTGAGTCTACTAATCTTGAGTTTGATGCAACTATGACTACGCTACCTGAAGCAACTATGTAGCCATAAAATACTTTATTTTCACTTGCAATTTATTTATTTTCCTATATTTTACATTCAACTCATCAAAAATAAAAAATCAGTGAAAATAAATTCCATACAAAACACCCAAAAAATCTTTTCAGTGAAATTTAATTCCAGGAGGTAAATATGATGATGATGCAAGATAAAAAACTGAAATTCAATCGTTCCCCATCATTTCTTATAGTCCTGTAGTCCAAGGTATTTATATATGTTTATATACTGATCTCCCCTTACAGTTTGACAGAAATAAATTTAGCGAGACGTCTGTTGATCTGAAATATTTCGAAGGTAAGAAAGGAAGCACTGAAGGCAGTGCTTGGAAAGGACAACGCATAAAAAAAAGGGAAGAGAAGAAAGAGGCTCTACGTGCTGCAAAAAATTTAGCAGTAAGTCACATATGTCTTAATCCTATATACCATAGCGGTTCACTGTAATAAAGTAGTAATAAATTTCTGTATCCCCACACTATAGAATAAAAAATCTCAGCAATCTGATTGGTCCATGCAAGCAAACATAGGTTGCTATGACAACATACGCATAAATGTCTCAATGTGTTGTATGAACAGAAAAAACAGATCATGACCATGCTGGTGGTTTTACACAATATTTATATTAAGTACCAGGGGTATATCAATTCTTCAATGAATAGTTATAGTAGTTTCAGATCTCAATTAAGATGTGTGTGTGATTGTAAGCCGCATGTTTGTGATACCATTTCTAATTCTTCCAACCACAACCTTTTTACACACAGAAATGTGTTTCACACATGTCTCATGGCCATTTTTTATGGATTGTAAAACAGCTATAGTTTGAATTTACTTCAAAATCAGTAATTATGTTACCAAATATATTGATGATGGCTTCAAAAATAGCTGTATTTCTAAATCATAACTAATGGTAATTGGTGTTCATAAACCAAGATGACCTTTTATGTAAATCAGCCAGAAATTACAATTACTGTCAGTGTCAGACTTTAGAAGCTGTGAAATAGATACATAGAATTAACTAGCCCTCCATAATCAGATTTATTAAACTTGTATAGTAATTTTCATTCGTTCGTTTTTAATGTAAATGAAAATGCAACCCAAACAGCAGCATTGCCTTGCAATTCATGCGACTTCTTCAATTCTTGCAAGGTCTTCATTGCACGCCACACACTGCTATACCTTCATTCTATAAATCTTTAATGACATGCACTTGACCTTCACCCAAACATAATATGAATATAACACTGAAGAGATGTGTTGCATGTTGTAATTTGTCAAATCAAATTTATTCAATGTTATGTGTCTTCATGGAAATTACAAAATTTTTGTTTTTTAGCAAGCTTCCATGTTCCAAGTATTATCAACGACTGAAGAGAGTGAAGATTCATCAGATAATGGAAATAAAAATTCAGTTGAAACATGTAAGGGTGGATTTTCAATGTTTCATTTATGTACAATATACAAGATAGACTTATAAATATCGTGAAAAAAAAATATAGACTGAAAATCAGAAAAATAAACTTGCTAATTCATAATGTAGACACTGTAAATTACATGTAAATCTTTGCTATTTTAACTGAAATAAATCAAGTGACACTCCGATTATGTTTTGAAAATGTGCAAGTTGACTGTTTACAGTAACTTGTATGTTTTACTTTTTGTTCGTTCTATGTTGAAAGCTAAAGTTTAAACTGAGACAAAAAGTTATAGTCAAAGGTTTTGTGGGAACAAAGTTTTTTTTTGTAGCTTTAAATCAGATTTTTAAGTATATATTTACACACATACTGTATAAGTAGTTTACTGAGACATGAAAAAAATTACATATTTCCAAACTTCATTGTGTTTTTCAAAATGCAACTGGACTGGTCAGTATTTCAGTTTGGCAGTCAATGCTTCATCATCCGTGCCAAGGTTACATTTATTTTTATTGCAACCCATGTAGTGTTTGATGAGGAGACAAAGCTTGATGCTGATGTTGATGAAGCGGAAATTTTTGAAATGGAATTCCGTCAACACAAGAGAAATTATTATCAAACCAAACTCGGATATGAGAATGTGACAGAGTAAGTAACTATGGTGATGGTAACAGAATGACCCAGGATGCATTTCAGGTATTCTGTGATTGGCTGAAATTAAAATGGCAGCTGCCTGTTGGTTTGTGTGCCAGTATTATGTCAATATATATTAAATAACAGATTTACTATAATACAGGATCGTTATCACAGTGACTTCTGTGTATACTGAGAATCTCTTTCTATGCAGGAAATCTGTCTGAATTTGAACAAAAGTTCAATATTTGATAAAAACTTAAGATGTAAAGTTTTCCCACAGATCCTTTCACCCCTCCATGGCAAAATGGCAGCATAATGAATATTTGAACTTATTACCTGTGAAATCTGTATTAGGAACTGTGATTTCTATAAAAAAATGTACAATACAACAGAGGAGAAAAAACTTCTATTAGATCAACACATGAGAAATTGTTCAAGAAGAATGGTTATGGTTTCTATAAGAGATGTGCCTTCTAATGCAGATTTTGCAGTACATTAATTTCACTGGATGACAGATCGGTTATTTTATGTACTTTATGCACTCTTGTGGTTTTTCAGGTATGTAGAACCTAGAAATAGTGCCGTATGCGAGTACCAAGTTGCGAGTCGCAAGTAGCAAAATATGCCATATGCTAGTGGTAAAAACGGCATATGCGAGTGGTAAAATGTATCGTTTGCTAGTAGCAAAAAAGCCCTATGCCAGGGGTAATACAAGGGCTTGTAACGTTTGCTTATAATATAACAACGTACGTTCAATTGTGTTTTATCACAGTAAAATCAAATATTTACCATGGTTATGAAATGATGTGTACATGGTTGGTTAAGATTGGCATGATGCTGTTAAGGTTTTTACTTCAGGGGTGATTCATGTATAAAAATAATGGTAGCAAATAGGGGTCAACGCGATCTAGCTTAGTGTCAACCGGCGCACGCCGCCCTGTACTAAACATTACAGTCGACTAGTGTACGCGGATTACATTGCGAAGTCGCAATAAAAAGCAGCTTTAACTACTATTTCCAGTGCTTTTTGTTTATTATTCATTTAAGTGTTTATATCAAAAAGTTCGTTCAGTCGTTTGCATAGAATCGATGTTTGCTCTTCACGAAATTGCACAGGAAACGTGAAAGCACAATAATTTAATAAACGGCCATGACCAGCCAGCACACTCCGCATAACATGTGAAAATTGTTTTTTCTTTCGGTAAAATTAGTATGAACCCGTGGTCAGCGATTAAAGAATCATAGAATTATAATTGTAGTTAGTAAAAACGGGTGCATGTTCACCAAAGGGCCACAGAATTCTTGTGTCACGCGCCGCCGTTTAAATGAAGACAATGGCAGGTTCAAAAGTAGTCACACCTCGGAGAGGTGTTAAATTTGCCACGACCCAAGTGTTAACTAGCACACAATTCCATGATACATAGTATATAATAAAGAAATAAAGTGCATGTTGAGTGATAAGTCCGCATGTTTACGAGACGTCACTCACACTTGGAATGTATTTACACGCAACCCGGATCAAATTTGAATTGAAACAAAGAAGCGTTTGCCGTTGCTTGGTCAGGATAGAGAGACAATTTCCATGGGTAAA